CTAAAACAGCATGCCTTTGGCTGCTTGCAAGACATAGCAGCCACTTAACCAAGAAGCATTTCGTAGGCTGGTAGATGGCATTGGCTGGACCTCAGGGAAATTCCGGGGCGGCCTTCCCATTTTAAGATCCCATCAAGAACCTGATCACCCCTGCTCAGTAGCTCTGAGGGAGACAGTGCAGAGGAAGTAAGTTTCAGATCAGAGCTTTGTGGGAACTTTTGTTCCCTGCTGCTGCTCCATCTTGCCTGTGCTTTGGTGGCGACAGGGAAACAGAGGGAACGCGGAAATCAACACGGAAGGGAAAAAAACACGTGTTTTGACAAAGGGAGGAGGAGTTCCAGGAGACTAGAAAAAGCAGAAGGAAAAATGGAGAGAAAAATCAGACTGATAATAGATTAACTTGTTAGCTCAGCTTCTTTAAGCCAAAATTGCGATTTCTGTTCCAATCCTTCTAGAACCGATTAATAAAACATGTAGTTTCCTCTAAGTTTAATAACTTTTGGGTTTTCACATTTATTTCATTAATGAACACTGAATCGTAACTGTTCTAGTCACGCATGAATATGAAATGGTACATTTGTGTTATTCCAAGTGCTTTTGCAGATCCATTTCACTCTGAACCCTCAGCGGCAGGGACCCTATCCCTGGGTCTGTGATCTTAGCCAGCACCACCTCTCTGGCCTGGCCAAGACAGCACACAAATCCTCCTCCTTAGATTTGGTCTACCTAGCCTTGGACACTGAAGTCTCTGTTCATCCCCTAGAATCATCCCCTGCACTTGAATGTGGACTGGATGGACCTAGTGACCTAGAGTGACTTACATACTCAGTGACTTAGTCCAATGGCCTCAGGGAACTGAATCCTGCCAATGACCAGGTGAGTGAGCTTAGAAGTAGAACCTTTTCCAGTCAAGCCTTGGTAGGAGGGCCACCCAGCTGACACCTTGAATGCTTCTGACGGGCTGTCATGCAGAGGACCCTGTTAAGTTGGGCCAGATTCCTGACCCACTGAAATTATGTCATATGTTGTTATTTTAAGCCACTAAGTTTGGGGGTAATCTGCTAAGCAGCAATAGATCACTAATACAGACCCTGAAGCCCTACTCTGGATCTTGGCATCCTTGGCCATCCCATTTTCCATAACCTAGAAGGATACCGTCATGGATATTTACTGAAACTGGCCGGCCAGTGTCTGACCCTCTTCCCTAGTACTGGGAAATCTTCAACTCTGGGCAACAGTGGCCTTTTTCCCACTAGGGTAGTGGGTTCTAACCTTTTTCATGTCATGCCAGGCGTAGAAAATGAATACGAGGGTGCCTGGGTGGTTCAGGCAGTTGAGCGTCTGACTTTGGCTCAGGTCATGACCTCATAGCTCGTGAGTTTGAGCCCTGTGGCAGCTCAGAGCCTGGAGCCTGCTTCGGATTCCGTGTCTCCCTCTTTTTGTCCCCCCTCCCCCCACTCTGTCTCAAAATAAACATTTAAAAAGAAAGAAAAGGAACATGAGGTGTAAAGTACTCTATGAATGCATGAGGCTGCTCGAGGCCAGAAAAGCCCAGCTCTGAGGGAGCCAGGCATTCAAGGGCTGCCCTGAGCTAAGGGTGTCAATCTTAGCGCCTCTATAACCCACACATAGGAAAAGCTGTGAATCTCTGCTCACAGGTAGCCCCTGGCATGATCATGCCACCTAGGCTTTGCCCACTTTGAAACCTGAGTGAGTGATGACAAGATCGAAGGTCAGAGAGATGAGAGTCCAGGTAGTGGAAGTGGCATCTGATGGTGGCTGCTGTGACCAGTGGTGGGGCCCTGGCCCGACCGCCTTTGGCCTTTGTTCTTAGGCCTATTGTCAATTCTGAGAACCATCCAATATCTTTCCAGTGAGTTCCTTCTGCTTAAGAGAGCCAGAGCTGGCTCCTATTGTTTGCTACCAAGAACCTCAGCAGATAAGATACATTATCGATACTATAGCAATACATGGCAAAGACTGAAAACAGGTGTGCAAACTGGTGGACAAGTTCAAGGCTGATGGATTTTTACCACATACACCTCTATGTGCAAGCCTCATGTTTTCATAATTAAAATTTACTTTTAATCATGAATTCTAATTACCCATTACAGAAACATTTTGTGATTTTTCCTTCACCTCTTTTTGGTAACAATTTTGGCAGGGTATAATTATTGTGTAGTCATTCCCCATGTAGCACATCATAATCTCTTTTTCATGTCTTCAAAGTCATATTTTTAAGGGGCCACATACTATTTATTTCACATCCTGTCAGGGCAAGAGGCCTGGAGGGAGGGGGCCTGAAATTGGGCCCCATGCCCACTGACTAAATCAAGAGAGAGGGGTGTCTATTTCTTTTTCCTTTCTTTGAAAAATTTTTAACATTTGTTCATTTTTGAGAGACAGAGCATGAGCGGGGGAGGGACAGAGAGAGAGGGAGACACAGAATCCGAAGCAGGCTCCAGGCTCCGAGCTGGCTGTCAGCACAGAGCCGGACGTGGGGCTCAAACCCACGAACCGCGAGATCATGACCTGAGCCAAAGTTGGACGCCCAACTGACTGAGCCACCCAGGCGCATCAAGGAGTATCTATTTCTAATTGGTTGGCTTCCTTCTGGCAATTCCGCTGCCCAGTGGGAATTAAAAAAAAAAAAAATCAAACCGATGTCCTAAACATGCTCCTGCAGTCCTAATTCTATTGAGTGGCATATGTGACCATTTCTCCAATGAGGCTTTTCACATTGGACATTTAGTTTGCTCCTGTGATTCATCTACCACGATGTCTTGGTGAATATTTTTAGGCCCAAGATCCTTCCACATTTTAGATTTGTTCCCTGGTCTTGACTTTTTGGTGGGAGTAAGTCAAAAGGCATGAATCCCTTTGTGTCTCTTTTTAAGAATCACCAAATATGTGTCCTTCTAAAATGACATTATCAATGTTACCTGCCACCTCTGGGATGAAAAAGTGGCCGTTCCACAGCATTGTCCCCTAAAAGGGAAGTCATTAATTTCTTGAGGTTGCTCGTTTCGAGAGCAATCGGTTACTCCTTTAAAACGCTTCCAACAAAACGTTGGATACTTTTACTCTTTCAACTGTTCAGAGAATATGTGAGGTTCTAAATGGTTTCTAAGTGTGCTGACGGAGAAAGTCAAAACTTGATGACTATTTCAAGAAAGGTTGATGAGCTTGGAGCCCATTTATTCGACCTTGATTAGCCAACATTTAAATAGAGTTTGGCTTGCATTGAACTCATTGTAACTGTAATACAAATGAAAGTTTTAGAACAATTTAAATACAATGACATCACGTAATTTAAAGTGCGTTGGCTTGGAAAAAGTCATCAAACAATAGGTTAGAACGATCAGATATTTTTATTAAAGAACAACTGGGCATCAAGTTGTCTGGGTAATTGAGGGAGAAATTAGACTGAATGACTTTATTAGTTCTGGCCAGACATTAGGGGCCTTCAATTAAATCATCATTTACCTACCCTCTTCAAGACAAAATAAATACTTCTCTATTCAGCAAACCATTCGTTCCTCGCTCGTTCCGCCAATCACCATCCCCGTTATCTTTGGAAGCAAACAAAATACCAGAATTTACATCGTGCAGTTTACACGTGTTGAGATCCATTTTGCCAGCTACGGAAAGGATACCCCCAAACAAAGGGAAGCGCTGAAAAGAAAATAGTAAATGCTAGGATGGGTCAGAGAGCAACACGTCGCAAGTTGTGCCAAATCAGTCGACCAAGCAAAGCACTCTATTGGGAATTGCAAAGTAGGAAGTCCTATTTTTGACTCTGCTGACCTCAGTGAATATTTCCTTGTTTTAAAAAGGTGCATAATTCTTTGCTACCTAACAAAGAGGCCTGTTATGGAAATTAATGAGTCTATAAAATGTTTTGACGTCTCTAGAAGCCCTTTCTAAGCACACACTATAATCTGGCATTCACATAGTCCGTGTTCCTGCTGTTTGAAGCTCTGCCAGTCTTTATTAGTATCACCGCGCCACCTCCTACCACTCCAAGTTCACTTTAAGTCCTCGTAAAATTAATTAATAAAATGACCGCGATTTTAAGTGGGAGACTTTGCCTTCAGAAATGGTTTCCAGTCCGCACACGATAAACGTTGAGGAATTAAGTCCCGGTGCAGAATAAAGAGCAAGGAGGTTCACAGAGAGGGAGGCGGCGGACTGGGAGCTCGCCGCGTCCGGGGCCGGCGCGGCCAGCAGCGCCCGGGAAGCCCGTGGGCGCTCTGGGGACCGCTCACCTCGGGGGCCCCCGCTGCGCCCCCGGAGCCCGAGCCGCTCCGCTCGACCCGGGCGCCCGCGGGCCGGGCTCGCGGCGGCCCCAGCCGGGCTCGATTACTTTCGCCTGGGCGAGAAGCAGCACCGCCGCTCCTGCGGGAACCCGGGGGGGGGGGGGGGGGGGAGGTGGGGCGACGACAACAAAAAGAAGTAAAGTAGGAGGAGATTCTCCCGGGAGGGCCCGGGCGGGGAGGGGGGGGGGACGCGGCGGGCTCGTGGGAAGAGGCGGGGACCGGCCGAGGGACCCCGAGCCGGCAGCCCCTCGCCCGGCCGGGGAGAGGCGCCCCGCCGCCCCCGCCGCGCGCCCGCCTCCCCACCCCCTCCCCACTCCCGCGGCCCGCGCGCCGGGACCCCCGCGAGCCCGCCCCTCGCCGCGCGCGCTCCCCCCGCCCCTCGCGCCTCCGTCCCCGCCCCCTCGCCCAGCGCCGCCCGCGCGCAGCGTCTCGCGCCGGCCCGGCCCGCCCGCCGGGAAACAGCCGCGAGAGCAGCGGCCGCGGCGGCCGCCACCGCGCCTTCTGCGCCCGCGCTCACGCCTCGCCCCCGCCCTCGGCGCCGCGTCCCGGGCCCCGCGCTCCGGCCCAACGTTCTCGCGGGGCCTCCGCCGGCCCGCCGCCCGCTCCTCCGCCTCCGAGCCCCCCAACCGCCGCGCTCTCCCTCGGCGCGCGGCCCGCCGCCTGCTTCCGGGGCGGGCGGACTGGGCGCCTGGTGCCGGCGGCCGCAGCGACAGCGCCCCCGGGAAGCAGAGGAGGAAGGAGAGAAGAGGTGGAGGTGGCCGCAGGCTGAGTCGCGGCCGGGATGTCCGGGCAGCCGCCGCCGCCACCGCCGCCGCCGCAGCAGCAGCAGCAGCAGCAGCAGCAGCTGCCGCCGCCACCGCCGGCGGCCGTGGCCCCCGTCTCCGGAGTCGTCCTGCCGGCGCCCCCGGCCGTCAGCGCCGGCTCCTCTCCGGCCGGCTCGCCCGGCGGCGGCGCGGGCGGCGGCGGCGGCTTGGGGGCCGCGGCGGCCGCCCTGCTCCTCCACCCGCCGCCGCCGCCGCCGCCCCCCGCCACCGCGGCCCCGCCGCCGCCGCCGCCGCCCGCCTCGCAGGCCGCCCCCGCCAGCGCGCCCCCCGCGCCCCCGGGCCTCGCCGCGGGCCCCGGCCCGGCCGCAGCCCTGGCGGCGGGCAGCAGCGCCGCGGCCCCCTTCCCGCACGGGGACTCGGCCCTCAACGAGCAGGAGAAGGAGCTGCAGCGGCGGCTGAAGCGCCTCTACCCGGCGGTGGACGAGCAGGAGACGCCGCTGCCGCGATCCTGGAGCCCGAAGGACAAGTTCAGCTACATCGGCCTCTCTCAGAACAACCTGCGGGTGCACTACAAAGGTACTGGGCGTGTGTCGTCGTGCGGTGGGAGTGGGGCCGCTGACCCGACGTGTCCCGCCGCCGCCCCCTCCCGCCCGCGGCCCGGGGCCCCCCGCCGAGCCTCGCCGCCCGGAGGGTGCGACCGGGGGTCGCGGGGAACGGGCGAGATGCCTGGGCCCCGCAGGTGAGTTGAATGCTCCTAGGTGTAACGGAGCCGGCGATCCTAGGCCAGGAGTGGGACGCCTTGAGGGAATCCGGGATGACAGGACAGAACTCGCTCTCCGATTTCCCTTCAGGATAAATCTCAGGGCTTGGATGGAGGAATCTACGGACGCGGAGTTGGGCGACATTGTTCTCCAAGTGGGGATGGCGGTGGGGTCAGACGGTCTCTTCTTACGTGGGGAAGTGTGGGGGGGGGGGGTGGAGCTCGATCCTGAGGTATGACTTCTAATGAAGGGAGAGCAGGATGCTATATAGGGGGAGGGGTAATCAGTGGAGGATTTTGTCCAAAATGAGGCCAGAGATTGTCTACGGGGACGAAAGGGCAAGGGCCCCAAGTTTGCCGGCCGTGTTTCTTACTCAGAGCAACTGGGAGGGAAAGAGGTGAAGCTCAGAAGTAGGTATTTGCTTAGGGGAGCAGAAACCTACCGCTGGTGATTGGAAATGCCCTGTGTTTATGTGCTCATGTTATAGGAAGTCTAATTGAACACGGATATTTTAAAATGTTATATAGCGTTTTAAAGAAAATTGGTTTACGGTTTACACCTGCAGTTAAAAAGAAGGAAAAAACCAACAGCCTTAGGCTTGTGCTTGTCCCCTCCCCCCCCCCACCTTTCTGTTAAAACAAAGCTTTGAGCAGATCAGTTTTATATGAAATTATAAATCGCTCTGACACTTTTGGGAATGTGGCAGCCTACATGACTAGCATGCGTCAAGTTTTACTTGTCGGGAGAAAACAAAATCAATCTAACGTATCTGTCTGGAAACAAATCCAGTTTTTAGGCCCCAAACCTGAAGCCGGAGCTTTCACATTCAAAGCAGCCGCATTTTGATTGGCTCCAAGGAAGGGTCTTAATCAGATCCTAATGACAGGGAGACGGAGGGTAGAAACAGTTTTTGTGGACAGATTCTTAAAGTGTACAGGCCTGAAAGCGGAGAAGGACCTTGATAAGTAAGTTACCATTTAATCAGAAAGAAGAACGGCGACAGAAATCTACCAGATGATTTGGCTGCGAAGAATCACGCACAAAAATAGGCCTTGTTGAATATTCCTTCTTTTTATCCATAGATCCAGAGAAATACTTTCCGTTTTGAATATTATGTTCCTTATTCTAAATGGCCGAAAAGGACCTCTGCTTTCTTTTTTCAAGTTAACGACGTTTTGTTAATACTCCGTGAAGGCGGTTACTTAATTTTGTGTTTTAATCCGTGTGAGCAGTGCTGGGCCATGAAGTGTTTACCTCTGATCTGGCTACCGGAAAGCTTTTTGTTACACTTGACCAAACTCTATCTTAAATTTATGGTTGATGGTTAATAATTAGCTTATAAAATTAGAGGCAGAAGATGTGGAAAGTTGTTGAACAAAGAATCCTGCCTTTCCTGGGTCCTGCGGTCATTTGTGACTTTAGGCATGTTAACAGGACAGGGCTGCAGCTTCTTCCTCTGAGAGAGATGAGTGAGTGAGTCGAGCTGGGTGGCAAGGAAATTTCCAGCGCCGAATTTCCATGAGATCTAGGGTTTCTGATTAGAGTTTATTTAGCCCTGTAACATGCCTCGATTAGCTTTACTAACTCCCTTTACGTAAAATTGATGGCTGGGGTCAGAGAAAAGTGCATGCTTATGTGAAATCGGTTGGAGTTTGGAATATTTATGACACTGCTGCCTCCCATTATTTTTCCCGTTGGCCTCTTTATTACTTTTTGTTGTGTAATACTAAGATTCACTTTCTGGAAACTTCACTCTTGTATAAACATAAAGCATTATTTCTGGAAGAACAGATTTTGTTGTCATCTCTCTCACCCCCCCCATCTCCCCTTTGTCTCTCCCTTCCCCCTTGTCACAAACCGTCTCTTTCCCCCCCTTATACTGCCTCTTCCTCTTGTTATTTTAATGCGTGTGAGGGTTGTTTTTTTTTTTTTCCTCCTGTTGTTTTTCTGCGTGCCTTCTGAGTGTACCACCCTGGAGTCCTGGGCAACTCTGTCCCAGGAAGAAGGGAAGGGAGCAAAGAAGTGCCCTAGGTAGTGGAGGATACAATTGTGAAGTCACAGAATCCGAAGAGTGAGTTTTTATTTAGCGGATCATTGGACCGCTTTGACTTTTACCTAAGCGTTTTCAGACTCTCTTAACATTAAAACCACTGTTCATAAAATATTTTTGCATGAAAACGGAATTTGAAAAGATTGACGATAGCTATTTTCCAAAATGATAAGGATTTTTCTTACCTTTAAAATAGAAATACGTTAGTTTCTTTTGCCCTGAACCATGCACGGTGTTTAAGATGTTCTTCAAAGTTGGAATGACAGTTTTTGGAAGCCATATGGTTCCTTAAATGATTTGAAGGGATTAATGTTAAACAATGCCAGACATGCAGACACAGTTGATTGGGCTGCACTGGAAGCTCAGGGTGTGTGTACTGGATGTGAAAATTTTAAAAAAGACCTTTTGCTTAGCAGCCACACACCAACTGTTGAAACACTCAGGCGTAGCCCCCTTTTATTTTTAAAATTCTCGTCAGCTTCGAATAAGTACGAATGTGACAAGTTTAGACTCCGTTATAATGAGAACTTTATTCCAACTTAAAGCGTTTTAATGCATATGACAATCGGATTCAATTAGTCCTAAATGCTTCAGTTACAGATTGCATTTTTCTATTTGTGAAGTGATCCCATTTGGCGACTTTACAGAGCTTTTTAATCCACACAAGTGTCTTAGTGGATTTGGACAAGGTAGTGGAATTCTCGGTTTTTGGTCCGAGAAAGCGGGAGCCTGCTAGAGGCTGGGCCGTCCGAGTCCCAGGTAAGCCAGGGCCGGAAACCCCTTCTCACCCACTCCACGGGCAGTGCTCTTGCCAGCTCAGTATTGCCTCTTGCAGTTGGGATGGGTTTTAGCTGCCGCTAATAGATAGAATCCAGTGGTCACTTTTAGGACTTTTTGAGGACCAATTGATATTAAAAGTACTTCCTCTGGGGGATAAAAAAACGTTGCCTGGAACACACTCCTGCCATGGAAAAGTCCAGAGGCCTTGATTATACGATTTAGGGCAGCTTCGAAGGAACGCAGGGTAAGTGAAAGTTGGAAATGATAGGAGTAGCTGTGAACTGGCGAGGTGCTTTTTTTAATGGAAGCGTTGTTAATAGTATCGAATGAAATTGCTGGGGTGCCTCCCTCCCGTCCCTCTCAGGATCCCCGGTCTTTAAGCCTTTGACACTTTCTTAAGTTTCATACTTACTGAATTTCTTTGCCCTTCTTCAGGTTGAAGAGCTATCTTGACAATATTTGCTCGCCTACCAATACAGATATCTTTTACGGCTTGTGGGGATGATATAAAAATGTTCCCTAATATCAAAGAATTTAAAAACCAAGCTGAGCTTTTCCCAGGGATCTCTTTGCCAGTATTGTAGGAAACTGAGCTTTAAAAATGGCAGTTGAGGGGCGCCTGGGTGGCTCTGTCGGTTAAGTGTCCGACTTCGGCTCAGGTCATGATCTCGCGGTTCGAGAGTTCGAGCCCTGAATCGGGCTCTGTGCTGACAGCTCAGAGCCTGGAGCCTGCTTCCGATTCTGTGTCTGCCCCTCCCCCGCGCTGTCTCTTTCTTTGTCTCTCTCAAAAATAAACATTAAAGCAGTTTTTTAAAAATGGTAGTTGATAACTACGATTAAGTGAACCTAATAATCACTCACACTCGTAGAAAACTAGTCGTAATGGCAATTCATTGAGCAGTTGCTCTAGGGCGGATATTCTGCTACACAATTTGTGTCTATGCCCTGCTCTCTGCTTATTCATTTATTCAACACGCTTTTAGTGATTGTTTACTTTGTGCCAGGTTCTAGGCACTCCAGGGTGATGAGATAATGTCTTTGAAAACACGTGTAAAACGCAGAAGTGTAGTAAGGGAAGGGTTAGAAAGAGTACGGTGGAGTACGGGAGGGGCATCGACCCCTGGCCGATACCTGCCGTGATGAAGTTGGTGAGTCCGGGACAGCTTTCGGGAGGGACAGCGCCAGTGGTCAGTCTGGAAAGATGAGGAGGAAACAGGAGAAGGGGCACCGGGCGTTACGAGTGAAAATGCATAACTAAGAGCACAGAAGGGAGAGTTAGCGTGTACGTTTGGGATTGACCAGCAGTTTGAGTTTGTTGGAATTTAAGAGTGTGTGACAAGTAGCCACTGGGAAAAGATCATGAGAGGCCTTTGGGATGCTTTACCAGGCTTAGATCTTATTGTGTAGGACATGAGCGATCGTCAGAGGCTTTAAAAAATTTTTTTTCTTTTAATATCTTTGAGAGAGAGGGGGGAGGGGAAGAGAGAGAGAGGAAGACACTGAATCAGAAGCTGGCCCCAGGCTCTGATTTGTCAGCACAGAGCACAATGCAGGACTCAAACCCATGAACGCCGAGATCCAGACTTGAGCCGAAGTCAGACCCTTACCCGACTGAGCAACTCAGTCACCCCTCAGTCCTTTAAATAGGAAGTAACTGGCTCATGTTTTAATTTTTGTCATACAGCCGATTGGAAGATGGATTTAAGGAGTACAGGACTGAAAAGAGCAAATTCATTTAGACAGTTGGTTGGCGGACCATGAGAAAGAAGGCCTAGAACTTGGCCAGTGGTGAGGTGGAGGGAGAACAGACATATTTGTGGTATGTTTTAGAGTAACACTGATAGGAAGTGACGAGATGGTGGAGACGAATCAAGGGTGACGCTTGGGTTTCTAGCTCCCTTAGGTTCTTGCAAAGGACCAGGAATGGAATAATGACTGCAAGGAAGTGTTACAGTGTATTTGGAGAGAACTAGGAATGGGAACAG